TCAGGTTTTTAGCTACACAAATAAGAGCAGCTATTCATACAACTCTTGCTTGAAGAGATTAACTTTTCACGAAAAAGAACGTAAACGAAGATATGCACATTAATCACGTTTTTTTTGACTCATGAGTGAAAAGAATTGAGAGTGTAAGTATGGATGTTTGAATCTTGGCGACTGTTGAAAAAAAGAGATTCTATTTCGTTGGTGCTGAATTATCTTACTATAGAGGAAAATAAATTTTTCTATCTAGAATATGATAATACTAATTGAATTGAATGATTTTGAAAAGAAAATCAATTTTACGTGAATGATTTATGGCCAGTGATGAGATCTAAAAATCGGGTTCCATAATATAAAATGATCTGAGACGATGATATGGTTTGATTGCCAAAATGATTACTGATACACAGATTGCCCGAACTTTGAATAAGAAATTTTCGTACATCATTCAGCAATTATTCATATGCCATTTGAACTTTTTTAAACCTTGGTGATAATATATAATTTCATATTATTGAAACGATCAAGAATGAAAAGCTAGAAGACTGACTCGAATCCGAAATTGACATTGTCAAAGAAGTGACAGAATTGCCTATCTCAGCTTGAGGGTGTGGGTGAGTGTGGGTGTGGCTGGGGTGTGGGTGTGGGTGAGTGTGGGTGTGGCTGGGGTGTGGGTGTGGGTGAGTCGGTGTGGGCGTGGGTGTGGGTCTGGGTGTCATTATAGAGAAGTATAACTCCCACACCCACACCCCACACACACCCACACCCCACACACACCCACACCCACAGCCACAGCCACACCCACGCCCACACCCACACACCCACACCCACACCCACCCCCCCACCCACACTCACACCCACACCCACACCCACACCCACACCCGCACCCACCCCACACCCACACCCACACCCACAACCACTTATTAAACGAGCAAAATATGTTTCTGTACCCTATAAACTATGCTCTACAAGATAGCAATAATCAGTTAATGAAATGATGACTTTGAATTCCCTGGCATCGAGGTTACACGTTACGCGTTTTAGTTGATATACGATAGCCAAATTTTTATACGGAGTTATTGGTAGAAAACTGCTGACGGAACAGAATCCGCCATTATTATGTCTCATTTTCGTATCGAATTTTTCATTACTCATTAATTAATGAAAGAAGTAAATACGATGTCTTATCTACTTTCTACTTCCTTTCTTGGCTCTCGGTTAAAGGCAGTAGGCGAATGTATGCACCTGTATTGAGAAATGGATGATGTCATGTAATTACTTGGAAATTTTTCACACATTATTATTAACACTGTCAACACAAGGCTTCATCATTCTATTTAATCAATCATTACTTATCACTACCATCATATTTAATCGATGATTATGTATCACTGTCATATATATTGCGCTCTCTTTTCTTCCTTTACAAACTTGGTTTTTTCCCAGTTATGTTCATTTTTCACATACAAATACAGAACGCAGTCGCTGAGACATCAGAAGCCATGTTTAAACAGTGGTGGAAACGTTTAACATTGATAACTCCTACAGACAACAATAGTGAAAGAACTGTCTTCGGAAAAATCATCTCCCAATTAACCAGAAAACTACAGCTACGCGACATAATAATTCAAAAAGATGACAAAGGACTTCCTCGTTTATTTGGGTTTTTTGCCTTAAACACATTAGGATTAGGAGCTATTATTGGTTAGATCACACGACAAGCAAAGCTGTTTTTTAAATTGAACTTTAGTTTAATAGTTCTCCTTCTGTTTATTAGGTGCTGGTATCTTCACCCTAGTGGGAAATGCTGCTGCAAATTTTGCTGGTCCAGCTGAGATTTTCTCACTGCTGATTGGAACACTTCCAGCCTTTTTGGCAGCTTTATCCTACGTTGAAATGGCTTCCATGATTCCTGCGAGTGGCTCCTCCTACACTTACACTTATACAATAATGGGTGAATTTTGTGCGTGGCTCGTCGGTTGGGATCTATGTCTGGAGTATATGTGTGCAGCTGCAGCAGTTGCAGTTTCGTGGGCGAACTACGTCGGATCATTTATGGAATTAGTTTTTTCAATAAGCATTGATCATCGTCTGCTTTCAGCTCCAGTCAGCTGGGATGTTAGGGCTCAGAGTTTTTATGTTACAGGCAGTTGGATATGTTTACCAGCTGTTATCATCATTGTCTTTATTACAGCTATCATTGTCTATGACATTGGTGCTTCATCTCGTTTTAACAGTGTTATTGTCATTGGAAAGATTCTCATTCTGATGACATTTATTTGTGTCTGTATCAAATATATTGACCCGAAAAATTATCGTCCAATATTACCTGAAAGTCAAGGTGGAAATACCTACGGTACCAATGGGCTGCTTCATGCTACGGCAATCAGTTTTTTTGCTTTCATTGGATTCGATGCGGTAACAACGGCCGCTCAGGAAGCTACAAAAGAAGCAGAAAAACGTTTACCACTAAGTATGCTAACTTCACTGGTCATAGCGACCATTCTCTACCTGGCAATCGCCTCTGTTATGCTCGGCGTAGTTAACTATAAAGATCTGAATGTAACAAATCCAATAGCAGAAGTGTGCAAAGTTATAGGTATGAAATGGCTAGAAATTTTGGTTTATCTTGCTGCAGTTTTTGGGTTGACATCGGTGCTGCTGGTCAATCTCTATGGACAATCGAGAATTTTCTACTCAATGTCAAAAGACGGTTTGCTGCCATCGGTTTTCAGCAAAACAAATTTACTGAAAAGAAAATCAGCAGAGACTAATACTACTTCTTCTGGTAGGACAAGTGTCACTACTATAACTGACCATACCGGCAACGGCGTCACGTCAACAGAAACTAGCAGTGCTGAGAATCAGGAGGTAAACAAACCAGTTGGCTCACCAGTGTGGGCTAGCATTATAATAGGTTAATAAAAAAAACTCCTACACTTTTCTAGCATTTATTCATTCGTGATTATTTTTATTTAGGAATTTTCTGTGCAGCGACTGCCGGCTTTCTTCCCATCGATTTTCTGGCTGAAACTACAACGATTGGAACACTTTTTGCATTTATTATGGTTCATCTCAGTATAATTATTATGCATTGGACACACAAACCACAGGAGGAAACTGGAACTGGATCTGATCTAAGCGACAGTAGCGAAACTCTAGCCAGGGAATATATAAATAATCGTATTACATTTCCCAGCCGAACGCTTATCTGTCCTATCATGGGTATTCTTATGTGTCTACTTCTAATGTGGTCTACCTCGAAGTGGACGAAAGTTCGATTTGTTTGCTGGATTGCCATTGGGCAGACTGTCTACTGGTTATACAGTAGAAAACACTCAATTCTAGGAAATGAACTTCAAACACATCCAGATCCTACGACAATAGATCCAACAAATGTGTTATACTGATGTCGCACGTATACATATTTATGTTTGTTTTTTGTTTGTGTCTCTTTTATTCTTTCTCATCTATATATCGTATCTTTGTTCTCTGTCTCTTCTCTCTCTTTGATCTAGACATAGATATGTACATGTTTCTTTCATTTTTGAATATAATAAAAGAGATTGTGTGCAAGTAGAAACACACACACATATATAATATAGTGGAGCCATCTTATGGATGTTTAGAAAAATTGATCATTGTTAAGTTGTTTCTTCCGATATCTCCTTTTGTTTTCAAGTAAAGGTTCGTAACTTTTGCTTTTAATGGACTAAAACTATTGATACTTTTGCATAGTATCTTCAAACGAAAAAGCACACGGTTTCGACAAGCAAAGCCATAATTCGCATGCGTTCAGATATCAACGATTGACTTCATCATTCATGCGTCATTTGTGCGTGATTAAAGTTGGAAATTTCCAAGTTGCGTTGTTGAAGGTATTTTTTGTATGTGCGTAGAAACAAGGTAATTATTTTAATTTGTTTTTTTCTCTTCAAAGCCGATCAACAGAATTGGGTGAAGAAAAGACAAATATTTTTGCAATGAAGATAAGAGAACACGAGGTGTAGAAAACAAAACGACAAAAAAATAAGTTTCAATATACACTCCTCAGCGATCAACGACAAATGGAAAATAAAGACTCCACTCAAAGACGCCAGCAAATATTTTTGGGACAAGAAAGTATGGTGGATTCGAATATTCCAGACTTAACCGTAATGCTCATCTGGTATGACCCAAACATGAACTCAGATTTCAACTATGAACAGACAAAAAGAATGCTCTCGAAGATAACAAATAACGTGCGGTTCTACATTTTGAAAAATGAATTCTTAAATTACATGGAAAAAAATAAATGTACTTCTGTCATCCTCATCTTATCGGGTCATGTAGCTCGAGATATTCTCTCCAGACTTAACCATCTGCAGCACATCAAATCTGTACATATTCATGGTGGCGAAAAGTCACTGTATGAGTCTCTAAAAACTGACTTTTGTAATGTGAGATTGAAATCATTCTCTAATGACCGAAATGAATTGAAAGTTGTGCTCGAAACAACTTTACATCACCACAGTGTTTTCAGTTATTATAACACTGTTACACAAACATCAACCTGGGACCTAACGACGAGAAATACTAAATTCATATGGTTTCAGTTGCTACAAAAGAAAATTTTGTTGGAGCAAGCCGTTCACAGTAAACAGTCTAAATGTGATTTTATTGAGCGCTGTCGAGAATATCGAGGCGATGACTATGAACCAGATCAAATATATATTGACTACTTAGAAAATCAATATCGACGAAAAGATGCCATTAGAGAATATACAAAAAACAATTTCTTACACAACCTAATCAATCATGCAATTAGAACTGGTGATATCGAAGAGTTGTACCACTTTCGTTACTATGTGGCTGATCTATGTAGGAGCTTAGCTAAACAATCGGAACGATTCCGAAGAAAACAACAGAGATTGGGAAAGACTGTTCTCACACTCTATCATGGTCTACAGCTCTCACAGGAAGAAGGAGAACGACTTCGTACAAGTGGAAACAAATACATTGCTATGCGTGGTTTTCTCTCAACTACACCGGATCGAGATGTGGCCGAAACTTTCGCGCAATGCTTACCTGAGAATTTAGCCGTCTTATTTGAAATTACAGTTGATTTATATCAAGTACCGTCAGTGGTTCTCGCTGATATATCAAAGTTTAGTGCAATTTTAGCTGAGAAAGAAGTTCTGTTCGGATTAAATGCAACCTTTGAAATTGATGAGCAGTTTCAGGGCAGCTGTGGTCGATGGATCATACGAATGCATGCAACGAATTGTGGACAGGAAATCGCCAATAACTATATACGGGATCATCGGTTAGCAATATCAAACTGTTCTTCATCAACTTCAATCTCGATCAATTTCACGCTGGCTCAACTTCTCATAGAAATGGGTCAGTATGAGACAGCAATCAAATTCTTAGAAAAGATTTTTCCGACTAAAGATGATGAACGAGCAAATCTGTATTTTATTTTGGCCGATGCAAACATATCATCGTACCGTTCAGTAGACCATGCATTGGATGAGGGAATGCGATTATTGAAGGATTCAGAAGAGCTATTTATCTCACTGGACAATAAACTTGGTATTGCTAATACTCTTAGACGTCGTGGTGATGCACTAGTTCTAAATAAACAGTACGATGAAGCTATTCACATTTATCGACAAGCAATAAAACAGTACAGACAAATAACTGACCAACAAGAAAATATTGCCAGTTGTCACAATGGTTTGGCTGATGCATATTTAGGACAACGAAACTATGCGCAAGCAAAATTTTATTATTCGAAAGCATTGAAGTGTCGACAGGCTCATCTGCCAGTTGAACATCCGGCGATCGCACGAAGTTACTTTAGTTTAGGACGTTATTATTATTATAAAGGGAATAATAATGAAAATGCACTGCTCTATTTAAAGAAAGCATTGGAACAAAAAAAGAAGATTTATCCGCCAGATCATCCATCGATTCAATGTAATGAACAACTTCTAAAACAAGTCGTAGCAGCTACTGCACGATAGTACGATGGATTTGAATACCGTGTATAGTTATTGGCGATTTCCTGTCCACAATTCGTTGCATGCATTCGTATGATCCATCGACCACAGCTGCCCTGAAACTGCTCATCAATTTCAAAGGTTGCATTTA